CAGACACAAATAGTGCATTTGGGATAGAGATGTCTTTAGATCTGCACACCTCACATTTCCCTTGCACTACTGCAATACTGTTTCATTCATAGAGCATAGTACCTTCTTTGATGCAGGCATGCCATGCTGGACAATTGTCCTGTGCTGACATCTCCCATGTCTTACAATTGATACTAAAGTTCTTAAGAGAGGCCTGGAGAGTGTCCTTGTACCATTTTTTCTGATCTCTGTGTGGATGCTTGCCTTGTATGTGCCATCTAACTGTCCTAATAATGATAAAGTTCTTAGGAGTTACATATATTATCTTTCCAGATAGGAATGTAAACAGTTTAACCTTATTGATTCCCTTATGATTTTTCTCTCATGTTTATCTTTTTATGTTTCTCTTGAGTCTTGTACCTAAATGTCAGATTTTCTATTTATTTTTGTCCTTTTCATCAAGAATTCTCAAAAGTCTTCTGTTTCATTAAATATACATTCTTTCTCCTAACAGACTAGATTCAGTTTTGCTGGGTAGGTTATTCTTGGTTGTAATCTTAACACCTAGCTCTGTTTTCCAGGCTAGTTCTTTTTCTGATGATATATTTCACATTTTTATCTATTTTTCATTCTTTTGACTTTGTTTTACTATTTCTTCATGTCACATGGAGTCATTAGTTTTCACTTAAATTTTAAGGAATTATTTTCTTCAAAAAGTTTTTGTACTTCTTTTTCCATTTGCCTAATTCTGCCTTTTGGGGGCATCTGTGTGGTGCAGTGATTAGAGTGCCAGGCCTGGAGTCAGAAGACTCAAGCTCAAATCCAGCCTCAGACACTTACTAGCAGTGTAACCCTGGGCAAGTCACTTAACCCTGTTTGTCTTAGTTTCTTCATCTGTAAGACGATCTGGAGAAGGAAATGGCAAACCGCCTCCAGTATCTTTGCCAAGAAAACTGTAAATGGGGTCACAGAGAGTAGAACACAACTGAAAACTACTGGACAATTCTGCTTTTTAAGGAGTTATTTTCATCAATGAAATTTTGTACCTCTTTTACCATTTGACAAATTCTACTTTTTAAGGAGTTCTTTGCTTCAGTTCTTTTTTTTCATACCTCTTTTTATCAGGTTATTAATTCTTTTTTTTTTCATAATTTCCTTACATTGACCTCACTTCTTTTTTCAATTTTTCCTCTATCACTCTAGTTTGACTTTAAAATAATTTTTTTTGCTTTTTTAAAAAAGTGTTTTCTGGGGCAACTGGGTGGCACAATGGATAGAGTACCCAGCCCAGGAGTCAGGAGGACTTGAGTTTAAATCCAGCTTCAGACACATAACACTAACTAGCTGTGTGCCTCTGGGCAAGTCACTTAACCCCAATAGCCTCACCAAAAAAAAAATGCTTCAACTCTTCCAGAAATTCTTCTTGGACTTGTATCCAATCTGCATTTTTCTTTGAGGTTTTACTTTTTTGGTATTTTCATGTCACTCTGTATCATGAACCTCCCTGTCCCCGTGTTAGCTTTTTATGATCAGGTTATTTTTTGTGGTTTGCTCATTTTTCCAGCCTATTTCTTGACTTTGGACTTTATGTTAGTTGACCTTTGCTTACTTGGGGGTGGGTAGAGGGTCACTGTCTCAAGTTTCAGGTGTTTTCATAGTGCTGTTTTCGCAGCTAGTTTGGGAAGGAGGGGTATGTAAGTTTGTTATGCTTCCAAGGTGGTATGATGAAAGGAGAGGTGTGATCGCTGCTATCCTAGCCTGCCGTCTGCTTCTTATCCAAGTAAGGGGCTCTGTTCCCTTGCAACCACTGGTGATGCCTTGGAACTGCAACCCAGACCTGGGTAATTGGTAATGGAGTTTCTAAATATTTGTCCTCCACCCAGTACCAACACAGCCATCTTAGACTAATGGTCCAATCCCCTTGTTGTCTCGGTGGTAAGGACTTCTGAAATTGCTGATGCAGTTGTTGCCAACTCCAGGACCTACAGTTGGTGTTGCTGCTCTGTGCTCTGGGGCATCTCTCACCTCAGTGTCATCAACCTTTCCTTTAGACCTCCTGTGTTGTCTTGGGCTGGAAAACTGCCTTACCTTAACCTTTGTTGGCTATGCCAATGGAATTCGCAACATAATTTGATTTGATGTGTTGTTTTCAAGTTGTTTAAGGGTGGCTATTTGTCTGGAATGTTCCCTCTACTCTGCCATCTTGGTTCCATTCCCATTTTCAGACTTTGATTCAGTTGTCTGATACTAAATGTGGCCTAACCTTTTCTATATGTCTAAATCTGATGTTGATGTTTTCTAATATAATTATTACTACTGGTTTCCAATAATTAAATTCTAGGTAAAACCAGAGAAAACATAATAAACCTTAGCAACTATTGTAACAATATTTACTCTTTGACTATAATTTATTTTTGAAAAAACCCAGGCCATATGCCTGTGACTTAAGCCTTTAGGCTCAGGTTGAAAAAATTGTTAATTAAATTAAGTGTAATAATGACAATGAGATGATATTCCAGAACCTTTAGGATATGGCCAAAGCAAGCCTAGGGGGAATTTTTTTTCATCTTGAAACACAATAACAAAAAAGAGAAATAGATCAATGACTTGAGAATGCAACTAAAATATTAGAAAACCAACAAAGAGCCTCATTTAAACACCAAAATAGAAATCATTAAAATTAAAGAAAAAAACTGAATACGAAACTTCAATGAACAAGCAATAAAGCTGGAAGTTTTAAAAAATAATAATAAAATGGACAAACCATTATCTAATTTGTTTAAAATGAAAAGAAAAACCAAATTGATAGTATCAAAACTGAAAATGAATTCATAAAAAATGAAGATGAAATAAAAGATATTATTAGAAACCATTTAGCCAACTCTATACCAACAAAATCATAAATTAAATAAACTATATGAATATTTTGACAAAATAAAGTATCCAAATTAGCAGCAAAAAATAGAGAATTTTAGTAACCCATTTTCATAGAAAGAAATTGAACAGCTCACAAATGAAATTCCTCCAGGATCATGTGGATTCACAAGTGAATTTTATAAGAAAATTCAAAGAATAATTCCAATTTTGCAAATAGATCCAAAAAGTATTCATTGTCATAGGGTAGGATGAGCCAATATAATAAAAAGTTACTATACTACCCGAAGTAATTTATTTATTCAATGCTGTGTCAAGTAATCTAGTGAAGGATTATTCTATAGAACCAAGAAAAATAATGATGGAATTCACATGGAAGGGAAAAGATCAAGAATTTTTAAAAAATGAGAAGAATTAGGAGAACAATTTATACAGTAATAATAACTCTGTGAAAACAAATGACTTTGAAAACTGTAAAACCTATGATCAATAAAATGAACTTCCAGGATTCCAGAGAACCAGTGAAAAAACATGCTGCATAGTAAAGAAAAGTCGTGGAATTAGGGTGCAACATTTTATGTGTGTGTGTACACACACACACTCATAAACATATATGTGTATTTATATGCACATATATGTGTATATAAATATATATGTATATATAATATATGTGTGTGCATAAATATATGTATATACATATATAGAGTATATACATATATGTGTATAAATATACATATATTTATATTTGTATTTAGTCATTTGCAATTTGTTTTGTTTATGCATATTTCTTTCAAGAATTTTTTTCTTTTTTCTTTTTGTTAATGAGGTGGAGGGTGAGAGAGATAGATGTAAAATAGATTTCTATTTTCAAATAATGAAAAGGACATGCTACAGATGTGAAATGTTGCATGCACTTTCAGATAAAATCACTGTGTTATTAGTTTTATATAACTTTTACTTTTTACAAACAAAACAACAGCAAAACTTTCGAAAAGAAGGAAATTAAGCTAATAAATTTCCATCTTCTCTGATGTCAGGAAGTTGTTTTTACAGATTGATTAGAATTTTTTGTACTTTTGTTTCATTAACAAATGTGTTCTAAAGCCATCAGAAGTCTTTCTTTGGATTATGTCCCTTCCAAGTTCCCTGAATAAAGCTAGTAGAGCTGGAACAGATAGACAAGTAAAACATCAGAACAGGAAATGACAAAGTACAGCTAAGATTGCTGATCTTTTTTGTCTGAAGTTTTCTTTCACAAGCCTTTGTGTGAAAGTGTTCTATTTACATATAATAAGCACAGGTCTCCTAAATGCAGAGAAACATTTAGGGCCATTGAAATCATTAGTCTTTTTGTCTCTGACTAGCTAAAAAATACAAATGGATTAGTGTTCTCATTATAAACATATCAATGCCAAAGAGGATGACAGAATGGAAAGTGCTGTATTTGAAGTCAGAGGACGTGGATTCAAATCCAGACTCTGTCACTTACTACTTGTATAATCTTAGGCAAATTACTTATGTGCTCTAAGGATGTCAGTTCACTCATATGTAAAATGATAAAGTTGGACTGGATAATTGCTAAGGTGCCTTTCAGTTCTAAATATCTGAACAATTATGGGAAGTAGCTCCTCCAGCATCATATCTAATAGCTAGCATTTATAGAGCACTTTAAGTTTGCAAAGGGCTATAAATATGTTGTCTCTTTTGCCCTCATAATTACTAGGTTCCCCAAAATAACTAAATGAATTTGCACTCCAGGCAAAAACGTTACCCTTCCCAATCCTAACCGCATGACTTAGAAGATACATATTATTTACTTATCCATCAAGATAAGTTTTGTGCAACTGAGGCAATTGCATCAGATTAATTCTATCTTCCCCTATTTTTCTAATTTACCTAAAACAAGTTCTCAATGCCTGAAATTAAAGTTTAAATGTAAGTAAGATGTGTATCATAGCAGGTGATGTATTCTTGACCTTGGATTTAATGTCCTTATAGGAGTGAGGAAAAGATGATGGTAAGGGGAAGAGAGAGGAGAGGGAAGGTTTCAGATTGAAACTTAGTATATGCATATTTAGATAATTGTTTCCTGTTATTTACCTATGGATAAGAAGAACATGACCTATTTTTATCCTTTTCTTTTACAGTTCCTGCGATGGATGCATGCTTGATCCAGGCTGTGGATTCTGCTATAAGATGAACAAATCAGATGTGGTCGACTCCTCATGTGTTCCAGTCAATAAAGCATCAGCAAATGAGGCTGCCTGGGGCAGGTATGCAAGCTGTTAATTACCATCAAATTCTTTGCCTTTTTATGTTTAAGCAGAACTGCCTTTCTGATTCTTGTTTATAGGTGAGTCACTTTGATTCTTGAAAAAGCTACTAGTTGAACTATGTTGTATTGGTTTTCAGAATTTGATTGCTTGGTGGCTGTCAAATACTGCAGAGTAAGAACAAGCAATAAAATCCACCTTTCTCCCACAACTTTACTTCAGAAAAGATAAGCAGAAAGCATCAGACTGAGTAGTGATGAGAAAATCTAAAGAGACACCAATGTGGCTCTTTTTTTTAATCTAGCCTAAGGCATAGATTCAGCCTATGGGCATGTAACCAGGGCAGGGACTACTATTAGGAGTGAGTCTAAGGTTCTGTGGCTCTAACCCCAGGACATGATTGATCTTATAGGAGAGTAACTGGGGAAGAGAATGCTGTCATGTGGAGGCTGTGTCACCCTGACCCTATTTTGGATTTCGGATTCAGTCCACAAAGCTGGGCTGAGGCCGGGAGCTGAGTGTCAAGGGAAGGACTGAAGGGTAGGAGTGAGCCTGTTCAGCCCCTCTAAACCTACAGAACCTCTAAGGTAGCTGATGAGGACTGTAGCTATGAAGTTTTTGCTAGAGCTCCAAGCGAGGGAAAGCTTGCAGTTGTGTTGCCCAAACCCAGGCCAGGGTTGAAAGCCTGCAAGGCTTGAATTAGGATAGCAGCAATCAAATTTCGTCTTATATCAGACTTATTTTTGTTGTTGTTGTTCAGTCATTTTTTCAGTCAGTCTGACTCTGTGATCCCAGAGTTCTGGAGTTTTCTTGGCAAAGATAGTGGAGTGGTTCACCATTTCCCTTTCCAGCTCATTTTGTAGATGAGGAAACTGAGGCAAACAAGGTTAAGTGATTTGCCCAGGGTCACACAGCTAGTAAGTGTCTGAAGCCAATTTACACTCAAGAAGAGGAGTTTTTCTGACTCCAGGCCCAGCACTCTATCCACTGTGCCACTTAGTTGCCCCTCAGACTACTTTGGGCACATTGAAAATTTACAGCTTCCAGGTGTGAGTCACTTCTGGCATCCCTTCTCCGGTGGAGGACCACAAAAGCAGGCCTATGCAAGGCAAAATTATACCCTCCAAAAGTGCACATACCATGACCCAAAAACAAAGTCCCATTTCAAGAAGTTAAAATTTGATGAATGCGTAAATGAAAAAAGACACAAATAATAAAGAGCATGGGACAGCCAAGATATAAACCTAGAAAAAAACCTGCCAAAATATCCATAAGCAAAGCTTCAGAGAAAACCACAGCTTAGTCAAAAGATCAAAAAGAAATGATGTGCCATACCAGTCAAACTACTAAAAATTATTTTATATGAGCTAGAAAAAATAATGACAAAATTCATCTGGAAGGACAAAAGGTCCAGAATATCAAGGGAAATTTAATGAAAAGAAATACTAGGGAAGGTGGCGTAGCCATACCAGTTCTTAAATTGTATTATAAGTAGCAATCATCAAGACTACTTGGTACTGGCTAAGAAATAGAGTGGTGGATAAATGGAATAGGTTAGGTACTCAAAATACAATAGTCAATGACTACAGTAATCTACTGTTTGATAAACCCAAAGACCCCAATTTCTGGGATAAGAACAAAAACTGCTGGGAAAACTGCAGTGTGCCATATTGGAGTATGGTAGAAACTAGAGATAGTCTATATAGACTATAGACATAGATCAACATTTTACACCATAAACCAAAATAAAGTCAAAATGGGCACATGATTTAGATATAAAGGCTGATACAAACTGGGAGAGCAAGGAATAGTTTACCTGTCAGATTTATGGAGAACGGAAGAATTTATGACCAAACAAGAGATAGAAGACATTATGAAATGCAAAATGGATAATTTTGATTACATTAAATTGAAAAGTTTTTACACAAACAAAGCCAATGCAACCAAGATTAGGAGGGGAAGCAGAAAACTGGGAAAGAATTTTTACAACTAGTGTCTCTAATAATGGCCTCATTTCTAAAATATATAGAGAAGTGAGCCAAATTTATAAGAACACAAGTCATTCCTCAATTGATAAATGGTCAAAGGATATGAACAGGTAGTTTTCAGATGAAGAAATTAAAGCTATCTATACTCACATGAAAAAATTCTCTAAATCACTATTGATTAGAGAAATGTAAATCAAAACAACTCTGAGGTACCACATCACATCTATCAGATTGGCTAACATGACAAAACAGGAAATGATAAATGTTGGAGAAGATGTCAGAAAATTGGAATGCTAATGCATTGTTGGTGGAGTTGTTAACTGATCCAATCATTCTGGAGAGCAATTGGGAACTATGCCCAAAACACGCATACCCTTTGACCCAACAATAACACTTCTAGATCTGTATCCCAAAGAGATCATACAACTGGGACAAGGATCCACATGTACAAAATATTTATAACAGCTCTTCTTGTGGTGGCAAAGAATTGGAAATTGAGGAGATGCCCATCAGTTGGGGAACAACTAAACAAGTTGTGGTATATAAATATAATGGAATACTATTGTGCTATAAAAATGATGAGCAGGCAGATTTCAGAAAAACCTGGAAGATTTGAATGAACTGATATTGAGTGAAGTGAGTAGAACCAGGAAAACATTGTATGCAGTAATAGCCACAATGTGCAATGACTAACTTTGATAGATTCCTATCTTCTTAGCAATGCAAGGTTCCAAGACAAGTCCAAAGGACTCATGATGGACATGATGGAAAATTCTGTCCACATCCAGAAAAAGAACTATGGAGTCTGAATGCAGATTGAAACATATTATTTGCTCTTTCTCGTTTTTCTTTTGCTTGTTTCTTCTTTCTTGTGGTTTCTCTCATTGGTTCCAATTCTTCTTTACAACATGACTAATGTGAAAATAGGTTCAATATGAATGTATATGTAGAGCCTATATCAAATTGTATGCCATTTTGGGGTGGGAGGAGGGAAGAGATAGGGAGAAAATTTGGAACTCAAATTCTTATGGAAGTGAATGTTGAAAACTAAAAATAAATAAAGTCTTACTAAAAATAAAAAAGAAAATGAAGAAAGATTAAAAAAATTAAAATAACATTATAAATGAAATGAAAGCACTAAAGGGAAGAATTGGAAAAGGAAGGAGAGTTTGGAGGAAAAACTGAGATAAATTAATGGTTTATTACAAGAGGGATAAAATGTTACTCAAGAAACATTTGGTATGGACCAAATATTATTGACTCCATGAAATAACAAGAAATAATAAAACAAATTCAAAGGATGAAAAAATAGAAGAAATATAAAGTATCTCATATTTAAAAATTGACCTGGGAGCCACAAAAAATGATTTAAGCATCATTGGACTATCTGAAACCCAGACCAAGAAAATAGCCTGGATGTCATGTCAACAAATTATGATTGAACCTTACTTAGAACTATTAGAAACAGAGGGTAAGATCAAAAGAGGAAGAATCCAAAGGCCACCTGAAAGAAACCTCAAAATAAATGTGATGTCCTAGTGTCACGTTAGAAATATGATAGCTGGGGTGGCTAGGTGGCGCAGTGGATAGAGCACTGGCCCGGAAGTCAGGAGGACCTGAATTCAAATCCAGCCTCAGACACATAATACTTCCTAGCTGTGTGACTTGGGGCAAGTCACTTAACTCCAATTGCCTCACTAAAAAAAATAAAAATAAATTTTAAAAATATGATAGCCAAAATCCATAGCCTCCAGGTCAAAGAAAATATATTGTAAGCAACTAGAAAGGCCATCACACTTTCTACTAAAGAATTTTAGGATCTCACAGACTCCACAATATGCCTCAAATTGACATTTGATGAATAAAACACCAAATTTAGTTTTTCTACAGCACTTTCTATCCAGAAATACTCAAGAGCCACAGTCAAGATCATAAAGATTTCACATCCTCCATTATAAATAAACAGAGAGAATGTTGAAAATCTAACAACCAAGAATAACTTAGCCAGTAAACTGAATAAAATCATTTCAGGGGTTTGGAGTAGAGGATGGCTCTTTATAAAATAGAGGACTTCTAATCATTTCTGATGAAAAGGCCATATCTGAATAGAAACTTTGAAACACAAACACTATAGTCAAGAGTAACATAAAAAGGTTGTTGTGATTGAGCAATGAGCACTATAGAAGGATAAATGTTTACATTTTAATATGGAGAGGAACAAAGAAGGATCCCCTCTGAACTATAATTTCATTAAGGGCCATAGAGGGAGTTAAGTAAGACAGAGAGCCTGAGAGTGGTATTTTTATGTTTTGATGATCTCTAAAAAAAGAAAGAAAAAGGAAGAGAGGAAAGAATACAATAGAGAAGAAAGGTGAAGAATGGTGGAGGGATTTTACAATTTCACACAATCTCATACAAGCACAAGGTTATACAAAAATGGATGAAGATAGAAGACTGAGCATCACTTAAACCTCACATCTCAACTTGTCAGAGATGTGTAGAACACTTATACTTATATTTGGTATAGAAAAAAATTGAACTCAATCAGGAGAGATGAGGGAATGGGAAGAGGAGGGACTAAGAGGGATGGTAGATAAGAAAGTAGTCAGTCATAACTAAAATAAACAAACATTGGAGAATGGTTTATAATGAATGGTTTAAAGTGAAAAAAAGAAAGGGTAAGAATCCATGACTAGACTTTTGAAAGTAGAAGAAAAGAGAGGCAGGGGAGCAGAAGCAAATTGTAGCGAGCATAGAGAACTTGTACTGAGCACTCTCCTTTTCTCACCACTTAATGAAAAGAAGACATGGGGAGAAGAGAGGAAAAATTATAAATAAATAGGATGCACAATTATCATAACTTTGGATGTGAGTAGGATGAGCACATCAATAAAATGAACAATAATGGATTAGAAAGCAAAACCCACTAACACATTGTTTACACAAAAATACCTAAAATGTAGTCACAACATTAAACAAAGGGCTGGAGCTATTATATTTCAGTTGAACTAA